TGCTTGAACCCGGGAAGCAGAGGTTGCAGTGAGCCGAGATGGCACCACTGCACTCCAGCCTGGGAGACAGAGTGAGACTCCATCTAAAAAAAAAAAAAAAAAAAAAAAAATTCATTTTTTTTGAATTTCCTACCATGAACATATCAAACATTTATCAGAAAATGAAAGTTCTTGTTTACTGTGGAGAAGAGGGGAGGGCGGATGTTTTTGCTGTAGAGCAGCTGAAAATGTTTTGACTGTGTCATCCCATGAGCTCATTTATTTCACTAACATTCTGGGGTGGCCACAGGAGGTTCTGCCTTTCCCAGGGAAAATAAAATCATTGTTTTCTCTCCAAGACTTCTTGTTCAGTTCTATTGCTGTGTAACAAACCATCCCTGAATGTAGCGGCTTCAAACATTTATTTTGCTCACAGATGTCCAATTTGGGCAGAGTTTTGTGGGGAAATCTCTGCTCTAATATACTTATAAAAAGCAGGGGGCTGTGCTAAGGCTGGAGGCAAGAACCACCTTCAGACTCCCTCCCTCACATGTCCTAGGATCCGTGCCGGCTCCAGCTGGGCCCTTCACTGGGGCTGTTGGCTGGAACACCCTCATGTGGCCTCTCCATGTGGCCTGGGCTTCCTCACAACGTGGTCACTGGGCTCCAAGGGTGGGCTTTCCAAGAAGAAGAGTCCGGTAGCAGCTGTATCACCTTTTGTGATGTAGCCTCAGAAGTCACATAGCTGAACTCTATCGGCCAAGCCAGTGACAAAGGGGAGGGACCGTAGTTCAAGGAGAGGGATCATAGACCCCTACCTCTCCAGGGAGAAATTGTGGCCATTTTTGGATATCATAATCTGCCTGCCCGCCCTCTGAAAATCCCTGCAGAATTGAGTCGGAATGGGGATTTGAGTCTCAAATCCCTGCAGAATTGAGTCCATTTCTGTGGCATCTGGACAAGAAAAGATTTCTCTTTCAGCCCTGATGGGTCAGTACAGGCCTCTGAGTCCTGTGGGAAAGTCTGACCTGCAAGTCACAAAGAAATCAGAATGAACTAAATTCCAGAAAGGGAGGAGCAGAACCCCGGGGGTGCTTTCATCCCCGGAGGTATTCCCTCCCACTTGTTTTTGGATTGTCAACTTATTTCTTGAACAAGTCAACATTTCAGGATTTTGATTTGTTTTAGAGCAAAGGGTTTTGACTTTTATAAACATTGTTAAGCACTTCATGTCATGGCTGGGTGCAGTGGCTCATGTGTGTAATCCCAGCACTTTGGGAGGTCAAGGCAGGTGGATCATTTGAGGTCAGGAGTTTGAGACCAGCCTGGCCAATATGGTGAAACCTCGTCTCTACTAAAAATACAAAACTTAGCTGGGCATGATGGCAGGTGCCTGTAATCCCAGCTACTCAGGAGCCTGAGGCAGGAGAATCACTTGAACCTGGGAGGCAGAGGTTGCAGTGAGCTGAGGTCACGCCATTGCACTCCAGCCTGGGCAGCAGAGTGAGACTCCATCTGAAGTAAATAAATAAATAAATGTAAATAAATAGAACATTGTTAAGCACTTCATTTTGGTGCAGAGTTTTCTTTTCATGTTTCTTCCTGCAGTGCCTCTTTAAATTGTAAATATTCTGACATTAGATAGTGATGATGGTTTTACAACTCTGGAAATACACCAAAAACCACTGAATTGTGCACTTCAAAATGATGACTTTTACAAAAACAAAACAAAACAAAAAAGGATCAGTTTTATGATAAGTGAATTGTATCTCCATAAATCTTAGTTTAAAAATATAATAATAAGCCATTATATATTAACATAAATAATATTGGTAAGAAGAGAGGCACTGTTTTACCTTTTTTCAAATGTCTTTTGCAAATGTCTTCTACATCTGGCTTAGTAGAAGATAGTTGGATATTGCATCTGCTTCTGCATTTGATTTGCTGCCATTTGTTTTGCTTGACGTATGTGAAGAAAATCCAATCTTCCACAGATCGCTGGAAATACAGTTGGATATATAGCTGAAAGAAGGGAGGTGTCATTTAACAGGCTTTTCAGATAACGGTGGCTATTCTTCTTTGATAAGACAGCAAAGCTCAGACAAGTGGGGGTTTCTTGAGGTTTAGTTGCAATGTGGACACTGAAAGTACATGAACAAACTTTACATATTCTCTTTCAGAAAAATCTGTTGCTCTGTCTTGCACATTTAAGATCCATAACCTATGCAAATTTTTATACCATTGGCTGTGTTGACACATTTTACTTAAAGTTTTCCAAAATTCTAGTCTATTTTTTCCTGTTTGTGTTTTTTTAAGACAGGGTTTCATTCTGTCACAAAGATTAGACTACAATGGCATGATCATAGCTCACTGCAGCCTCAAACTCCAGGGGTTAAGTGATCCTCCTACCTCAGCCTCCCTAGTAGCTGGGACTACAGGTGTGTGCCACCACAACTAGCTACTTAAATATATATATATATAGAGAGAAAGAGAGACGGGATCTCACTATGTTGCCCAGGCAGGTCTTGAACTTGGGGCTCAAGTGATCCTCCTGCCTTCACCTCCCAAAGTGCTGGAATTACAGGCAAGAGGCATCATGCTCGGCCCAAAATTCTAGTTTTTCTTTGAAGCTCACATTTTATTGTTATTAGAAAGTACTATCAATTGTTTACCTTGAAGTGACAGGCTCACTTTGTTCATTGTTCTAGAAAGTGTCTCTGAATGCCCAGCTGTGAATAGCCATGGATTGTCAGCTGTGCTTCCAGGCAAAACTGATGTTCCCTGAAAGGGGAGCTAGTTCAGCTCATAAACAACAGCACACATGCTTTTCTCAGGATGAGTAATGGACTTTGATCTGCAGCCCAAGGGCTTTCTGTTCACTTTCCATCCATTACACCAAATATTAAAACGGTGTGTACGTAAGGATCAAAATTTATAAATTAATTAACTGATTTTAGACAAGGTATGGCTCCGTCACCCAGGCTGGAGTGCAGTAGCTCAATCTCGGCTCACTGCAACCTCCAGCTCCCAGGTTCAAGCAATTCTCAGGCCTCAGCTTCCAGAGTAGCTGGGATTATAGGCATGCACTACCACGCCCAGCTAATTTTTTTTTATTTTTTGTAGAGACGAGGTTTCGCCATGTTGGCCAGGCTGGTCTTGAACTCCTGATGTCAAGTGATCCGCCTGCCTTGGCCTCCCAAAGTGCTGGGATTACAAGCATGAGCCAACATACCCAGCCTCAAAATTTAATAAAATTAAAAACTATTTTCCTGCTTCATTGAGGGTACATATTTTTTTCTTTTTTTGGACACAAGGTCTTGTTCTGTCACCCAGGCTGGAGTGCAGTGTTGTGATCATGGCTCACTGCAGCCTCAACTTCCCAGGATCAAGCAATCCTCCTACCTTACCCTCCCAAGTAGCTAGGACTACACACATGCCACCATGCACCTGTCTAATTTTTGTATTTTTGTAGAGACATGGTCTTGCCATGTTGCCTAGGTTGATCTGGAACCTTGAGCTCAAGCAATCCTCCCGCCTCAGCCTCCCAAAATGCTGGGATTACAGGTGTGAGTCACCACACCCAACCTCAAGGACATTCTTAAATGCAATTAATTTTTTTAAAAATGAGGAGTGTATGATGGTGAAGAACACAATAACTCCTGGTACAGTTTGATGCCACTGCCTTAATTCAGGCTGAGGCGATGTCAGGTTTACCCACCATTCCTTTTGCATCATGGGTACAAATGTCAATACATTGAAAAAGGCAAATACTGTCTTAGTATTATGAAAATAGTTCTCAGAGGTACGTGGAGCACTTTGAGGAATCACTAATCTTATTTCTTTTGTTGGCAGCTGAGTATTTTGTTCTCTGTGTGTAGCATACATTAACTAACCTGTCCTTGTTGGTGGACATTCAAGGTCATTCCTATCTTTTATTACCCACAGAGTATTGCAAAGAGCAGGGGGTGGACTCCCATCCTAAGCGGCTTTCGGGTTGGAAGTTGAAAAATCTCATATATTCAGGCATGCATCCTTTGCTTCAGCCAACAAACAGGAACCTAGACCGGGTACGGTGGCTTGCCATGCACTTTGGGAGGCCAACGTCGGAGGACTGCTTGAGCCTAGGAGTTCAAGACCAGCCCTGGGCAACATAGCGAGATCCCACCTCTGTCAAAAAAAAAAAAAAAAAAAAAAGTTTAAATTTGCC